GTTGAGGGTGGAGGGAGGGGCTGCAGGACGCAGAGTGATGCATGATGTCACTCTGTGGTCCCATAGGAAAAGTTTTTATAGAGAGAGAGAGAAAAAAAGAAAATAAATTGAAACAGTTTGGGATTCTCCTTGCAATGTATCCAACCCAAACCCAACAGCAATAATTGATTGGAAAATGAAATTGATTGAAATGCTAACAAACTACTGGTGGAGGGAGGGGCTGCAGGACGCAGAGTGATGCATGATGTCACTCTGTGGTCCCATAGGAAAAGTTTTTATAGAGAGAGAGAGAAAAAAAGAAAATAAATTGAAACAGTTTGGGATTCTCCTTGCAATGTATCCAACCCAAACCCAACAGCAATAATTGATTGGAAAATGAAATTGATTGAAATGCTAACAAACTACTGAAAATAGCAGAAAGTAAATTAGATTAGATTAGATCTCCCCTTCCCAGTTTTAATAAACTATTTCATTATTGGCAATAAATGTAAGGCTCATTTATAAGAATATAATATTTGTAAGTGTCCCTTTAAAATAACAAAATATAGGACTATGTAGCACTTTAAAGACTAACAAGATGGTTTATTAGATGATGAGTTTTCGTGGGCCAGACCCACGAAAGCTCATCATCTAATAAATCATCTTGTTAGTCTTTAAAGTGCTACATAGTCCTGTATTTTGTTTCAGCTACACCAGACTAACACGGCTACATTTCTATCACCTTTAAAATAACAATATTTAAAAGTTCTGTTTAATGCCAGTTTGATAGTTTTTGTTTACTTATTGAAAAGATTACTTCGCTTCAAAGAAACTAATGTTACTAATATTCACATTGAAATACAGTTATTCGCTGGATCCATATTGCCTATTGGGGTATGTCTAGACTACATGGCTCCATCGACGGAGCCATGTAAACTAGTTTATCCGGGATAGGCAAAGACATGGGCAGCGAGTTGTATGGGCTCATGGTGCCCATGCTCCACCAATATTTGGAGCTGGGTCTCTCCAGCTCTGCTTGGAGCGGGCTCCGGACCACCATGCATCCTCCCTCCCCAGCTCCAGAGCCTCTCTCCCCCAGCCCCGGCGCTCCCCCTTGCCGTCTGCTGCTGCCATGTGCAGCATGCTGAAACCGGTGGGCGGGGAGACGCCCGGGCATGATGTAACGTCACGGCCTGGGATTTTAAAATTGCTGGGTGCTGCATTGTGCTGCGCCGCACGGTTGAGTTGTGGGTTCGGAGTCCGGGGATAGAGCACAGACTCCAGCCCCACAAAGTGGAAGGGAGAGGGAGAGGGAGAGGGAGGTGCTTGTGCAAAGGGGAAGGCATCAAAGGGACAGGGGTGGAGGAGAAACAAATGGCAGGGGGGGGTTAGAAGAGGACGGGGCTTGTGCGGAGGGGGAGTGGGAGGGGAAGGGGATGGGCTGGGAGAGGAAGGGGCTTGTGCAGAGGGGGAGGGGAAGGGAGAAAACTAGGGGAAGGGCTGGGAGAAGAAGGGGCTTGTGTGGAGGGGGGGAAGGGGGGAAGAAAGAGGGGAAGGCACCAAAGGGACAGGGTAGAGGAGAGACAAATGCCAGGGGGCCAAGTGCAGACAATGAGGAAAAAAGCAGGAGGGGAGGTGTAAGTGGGAGGGGGGACAGGGTGATGCTGGGAGGGGAGAGGGTAAGGGCATAGGGGGCTGGAGGAGGAGGTGCCCTGAGACAGCTTGAAAGAAGGGGTGGGCATAAGGAAGGTGGGGATGGAGCAAGGCATGTGTGAGGGCACAGAGGGGCAGATGGGGAACAGGGGAGAGAGTGGTGAGGGGGTGGGTATCAGGGAAAAAGAGGGAAAAGGGGGGAGGAGCAGTGAGGGAAGGGGGAGGCACCAGGAGGGTGCAGGAGTAAGAGAAGGTGCAGGTGCCAAGGGATTCTGGGGGTGGAGCAGAAGGGCAGACACCTGCAGGGGAGGGACCAGCACCAGAGGAGAGAGGCAGGGCAGGTTTGTAGAGGGAGGTATTAGAAGAGGAGATGAGGAGCGGTAGCTCACATGATCAGAGTGGGGCTACTGGAGGAGTCGGCACAGGGGGGAGAGAAGGGCTGGTGGAGGGGTGCAGGTTGCATTAGGGCTGAGGGCAGTGAGAAGGGCAGGAGTCAGGACAGCAGAGGAGGGTGAGGGGTTGGGGGGCAGCAGGCACCAGGGGAGCTGATGGAGAAAGGGGAGGAGACATGGCAGCAGAGAGAAAAGGTAAAGGTTTAAAAATATTTATTAATAACTTGGGTGCCACAGTGGCACATCCAAACAAGCCACGTGAACTCAGTACTGGTGCACAACACAAAATTCATTTTGCTCATGAGAGGAAACTCTTAGGCTACGTCTACACTGGCGGTTTCTTGCGCAAGATGATCTTGCGCAAGAGTTCTTGTGCAAGAATTTTTGCACAAGAACACGTCCACACTGCCATATGAGAGATGTGCTTTTGCACAAGAGCATCTATGGCAGTGTGGACGCCCTCTTGGCCAAGAAAGCTCTGATGGCCATTTTAGCTATAGGGGTTTCTTGTGCAAGAAATCCCTGCCTAGCATCCACACTGCCCTCTTGTGCAAGAGAGCTTACACCTGTTAGAAAAGAGCGCAGCTCTTGCGCAAGACACCCTCTCTTACCACGCCGTACTGTAAATTTCCTTTCACAAGGGCAGGCGGGCAGTGTGGATGCTCTGTGGGTTCTTGCACAAGAACGGCTGTACTTGTGCAAAAAGGCACGAGTGTAGACATAGCCTTAGAGGGAACACTTCCCTCAGCTCTCTGCTCCCGAGTTAATGTCATACACATTGGGTTAATGCAACTGCAGGATAGTTGCATGAGGGGGTTTTGGTGGGGACCAAACTAATACCTGTTGGTAGGAGAATGGTAGGAAAAGCCCTTCAACAGGGGTGACATGACAACTTTTACTTCTAGTCGTGTGTCCATTTTGCTTGGTGCGTGTTACCTCCAGAGGCCTGGCTAATGGGGGGGGGCAGGGAGTGTGGTTAACTGGGACCAGGGGGCGTGGCTAATGGGGCACCACCAAAAATTAAACAAACCTGCCTCCTATGGGCAAAGAAGCGGGGATTTAAATAATCCCCGCTTTATTAACATAAACATGGCCACCACGCTGTGCCGATGATCAGCTGATCTGGCACAGCGCGGCAGTCTAGACGCGGACTTGTCAGCTGGGGAAGCCTTTGCCAACGGATCCCTTATGCCCCTTATGCTTAAAAAAGGAGCATGTATCTCCTTGACTCCACTAGAAATGAGTGGTAAGGAAACAGCAGTAAAGTAACTAAGGACATTTCGGATTTTAAACACTCTCAGGTACGTCCTAGACTACAGAGCTTTTCCGGGATATGGGAGGTATGTCCAAGGAAAAAAAGTCCACTTTTCTGAAAAAAATGTCAGAAAAGTGGACAAGGCGTTTTGTCGGTATCCCTGTAAACCTCGTTTTACGAGTAAGAAGGGATGTTCTGGAAGAGAGTTTTTTCCAACATTTGGCCCCGTGTAGACAGGCCAAATGTCAGAAAAGCCTTTTTTGGAAGTATCTTTTTCTGACTTTTCTTTGTAGTATAGACACAGCATCAAATGCTATGTTCATGCTATGAAGCAGGCAGTAGAATAAAAATGGTTGAAAGCAAGAGAGAGGGAAGAGAAGAAATATTCTTCTAAGATTAAGAGCACACAAATTTTTGCACTTAAGAAATAAGGCCTGATCTGCACTTAAAAAGGTTGACATAACTATGTTGCCTAAGAAAAGGGAAAATCCACATTCCAGAGCCCCATAGCTATGCCAACCTAAATCCCAGGGTAGATGCAACTAGATCAATGAAAGAATACTACATGTCACTGTACACTATGTCTATGAAGCTATGGCATCATAGCTATGCCAATATAGTCTCAGTAGTATAGACTTGCCCTAAAAGATTAAAATGGCAGATATGAGGTCTTCTCCTAGAAGCACTGTGTGCAAAATTGTACACTTTCATATGCGCTATGTTTGTCAATGTCAAAACAAAACAAAACAAAACAAAACAACAACAACAACAACAAAAACCTGCTGTTTTTCCCTAAGTGAGATGTTCTAACAACTTCCTTCTAGGACAAGGTGGAAAGTAGCAATTGCTACCTCCACTAGTATTAGCTGTTTTTGGTCCAATTCATTACACTTTGTTCCCAAACACCAAGAAAAGTGTATTGCTCTGATAGCACTTACTGTAGAAGAGTTTTCAGAAGAGAGAATCCAATGTCCTCACACATGAGAGAGCCTGTGAATCACAGCACTAAGCCAGCCTGCATGGATGCTAGCCAGAGACACTCAGCATGATGGTCACCCTGTAAACAGGCAGAGAATGAGAAGCCAGCATGTCTCACTTGAGAGGGGGAAAAATGTATTATCATAGCTTTACTGATCTCCCTACCAAGTGACAGCCATTCTGTGTCCACCCTGGAGACATATACAAATTGTGCAGGATAGGAAAGAAAACCAAAAAGCCCGGATCTTACTGTAAAAACAAAATAGCTAGCAATCACATGAACAACTAATACTAACAGAAATCAGAATAGTATAACCACAGTACATGACTTACAATATTAATTCAGTAGATGAAGCAACTGTCAGCAACACACACAAACATCTTTGATCCTTACCTTTCACTTTCTTGATCCCTTGCTGAATAAGTGGCTGGCTGGCTGGCTGCTAACATTCTTGGTGACTGATAGAACAAGCTGTCTCTCTCCAGCCTGACTGCTATCCAAATCTGACATTAGTCACTCCCCTTAATTTTCTTTTACAACACTCCTTAAGATTTTTTTTTAATTATTTCCCCCATAACCAAAAACAGGGTGTGATATACAGTAGGAAAATAATTACCTGCAGCTGTACCACGTAAGTTTTAAAATCACATGCTCCACACTACCAACATACAGCAATAAGACTCGAATCCCCACAGCAACAAAATGCTAACTACTCTCTTCCCCCAGACTTATGGAGCTATGGGATGGCTGCCAGGGAGATACAGATAAATGTAAAAAAGGTTTCAGGAATATGAATATTAAAATAAAAGTCACAATTCTGGATGTTAGTTTTTTTTCAATCTCCAACATTTATGATTCTACTAAATGATCTATCTTCTCACTAGTGTAGGAATGTTCTCTGCACAAATTATTTTTCTAGGACTTTGTCCAGTTACTTCTAAATGTCCCCAAAGGTCTGATCCAAAACCACTGTACTAAGTGGATGTCTTCCCAGTATCTTCAACAGGAATTCCACTACTTCCACTGGGAGATTGTTTTGCAAAAGTACTACTCATTTACTTGAAATTTGGTATATTCTTAAGTCCCCTGCTAATCGGGGCCTTACATAACTCATTTTATCAACAAGTAGTCATCTAGCACCCTAAAGACTAACCAAAATTTATAGAATCATGCGCTTTTGTGAGGAAAACCCACTTTGTCAGATGAATTGGAGTGGAAATATCAGAAACCAAGAGATATATGGAGTTCTCCTGAATTTTTTTATCTTAATGTTTTCCTTTTTTAATTTCATGCCAATATCTCTTGTATAAGTACCAAACAAAATAATTCCAGTCCATATTTTGTAAGAATTATCTTGTCACTGCAAACTAACATTTCACTTTAATCTCTCTTCTCCTCACTCCACACTGAGGCTACGGCTACACTGCTGCTTTTTTGCGGAAGAGGATATGCAAATCGCGCTCACGTTTGCCTATCTTCTTCCAATTATTTTTGCAGAAGAGGTTTTGCCAATAAAAAGCCCTGTGTAGACGGGGCCATTTGTCAGGGGAAAAAACCCTGTAAACCTTGATTTTTGAGGAATAAGGGATCTTGTGAAAGAGGGATTTTTCTGACAAATGACCCCATCTACACAGGGCTTTTTATCAGCAAAACCTCTTCTGCAAAAAGAATCGGAAGAAGATATGCAAATATGAGTGCAATTTGCATATCCTCTTCCACAAAAAAGCGGCAGTGGAGCTGTAGCTTGATTCTGCCTTTTGTTCTTCCTCCAGTTCATATCTTTCCCCACCCACCATTCCTCAACTAACTTACTCCATTTTCTGTGTTACAGCCCCACTACCACACACTTTTGGTCAGTCCCATGGCAAACACTTTTGTTTTGAGTCTTTCTTGTAACCTTCCCAGCTATTGAACAAGAGCCTGGATACAAAATTGCCATGGCTCAAGTACAGTAGTTTTCATCTTAAATAATATTTAGGTTGTTAAAATAAAATAATAATGTAAGTAGAGAATAGAAATTAAGAAGTAAAAGTGTGAAGAGGAGATGTACTGTGAAATGAAAATATATGAAAGGTCAAGGAGGCAGAGAAACATAGAATGGTTATTCAAGATCATCAGAGTTGCAGAGAAGCACTCCAACTCTTACACCAACAGTAATGCAATAATGTGAAGAGCAAGACAGTGGGAGACAAGTGGGAACAGTGTAGACAGAGAAAAGATATGTGAAGAGGGCTAGCGTTTGTTCATAAAGAGTCTGAAGTACTGGGATTCGGGGATTCAATTGAGAACAAAGTGAGAAGACATGAAGGCATTTACATGAAGCTTTAAAATAGAAAAGCCCAATTTTTCTAAATTCCCGTAAAGAAATGTATGAGAGTTTGTGAAGCCATACAGTATGGCTACTTAAGATGCAAACACATTTGCGTTTATTTTACTCCATCAGCATAGTGCCTGATGGAGAATTCAAATCTTTCTCTACAATGAAGGAAACATTGCTCTTATTGAGTTACTGTCTCAGAAACAGAAGCAAGTTATGTTAGACAAGGAAGCAGAAATCTTATTTTTTTTAAATCCAGTGCCTGAAAGTGCTTTCTACACTAAGGGTGCTAACTATCACAGTAACATGACTATAAAAAGCAGTATTTGGATCCATTATCACAAAATACTCAAATATGTTTTTGTTTTAAACAAGGGATGGATTGACAGAAGTAGCTCAGTATTAAAGGATCCTAGTGCTATCAGTAAAGACCTTACTCTTTGTCCATCCTGTGCTTTTCAGCACATTGGGCTACCCACATTCTCCATACTTGCGTATCATCTGACATGTAATCCTAAATCCTCAAAGAATTGGATTTGTTTAATTTGGAAATAGGAAGACTGAGAGGGGATTAGATAGCAGCTTTTAAGTACATACAGGGCGTTATAAGGGAGAGGGAGAAAAAATAGTCCACTTTAACGTCTGAGGATAGGACAAGAAGCAATGGGTTTAATTTGCAGCAAGGGCGGTTTAGGTAGAACATTAAGAAAAACTTCTTAACTGTCAGGCTAAACACCGGAATAAATTGTTTAGGGAATAAATTCCATCATTGTGAAATCCCCATCATTGGAGATATTTAAGAGCAGGTTAGATACACATCTGTCAGGAATGATCTAGGTGATGCTTAGTCTTGCCATGAGGGGAGGGGACTGGACTTGATCATTTCACAAGATCCCTTCCAGTTCTAGTGTTCTATGATTCTATAACTTCAAATTACATTTTTCTATGGCATTGATGATCATATGCTTTCAAGTCATCCTAGTTCTATCCCTCTTTCTTTTTGCATTTTCTGGTTTCCAACTGAGAGTCACAATCCATAGTCAGTAAAGAAGCAATTATATAATTTAATGTAGGAAATGAACTGGCTGTTCTAATAGGTTTTCCTTCTATAACTTATAATATTTACATAATCCTGACATAAATTGGTAAATAGGATCATTTTTCTGCTCTTAGTTCTGCCACCAGGAACTGGATACACTTTCTTCCATAGGAAAGTTTGCAATTAAAAACTGTTTCAAAGGAATATGTTCTTTTTTTATTGTTGGTTTGCTGAGACAAATAATAGTGCAATTGCTGGGAAATCAAAACTAGTGGACAGTCTCTTCTGGCTGGTTTGACTTTACCTTAAAATGAGAGATCAAATGTTCTTAGTTCATTTAAAATAAAGAGAGCAGTATTAAATGGCAACTGGTAGCTGCTGAGGCTCATCATGTACAAATGTACTCATGGAACCATTAGGCCTCAAGTGCTTTCTATACATCAGTAGTTTGTTGTATAAATGCATGTTTAGGGAACTTTTAAAATGTACATTTTCTGAACTCAGTCTAGCACTGAAATATGCACTTAAAACTCTACGCTTCCCAATAAGAATATGTTATGTACCTGCCATTAGTGTCAATGACAGTTAAGAAAGCATGCTGAAAGGAGAATAAATTCCTTGGGGATATTTAAGTTATAATCTGTAGTGTCATTTGAGGTGTTTTCCTCCCATTACAAGCTCCCCAAAGACTTTGATGTTATGAATTAGTGATCTAAAAGTTCTATTTTGAAGTGTAACCCCATTTTAGGTACAGAAACACTACATCAAATAGAACTATTAACTTTTTAAGATGCCAGTTTAGTGCTGCTGAAAGGTGCCAGGATGACAGCCTTGCAGACTGAAGTCCTCTGCAAGCGTCCCTGAACTGCCTTTGTGTCTCAAACCTTCGTGGAGAGACCAATTCTGAAGGGTAAGAAGGGTAGTTCAGATGCCATCCCCTTGAATTCTATGATCTCTTTGTTGTAACTACCAACAAGGGTAATAATTATGGTGAATTTTGTAACATGCATCTCTCTCCACTAGGAATTCTTCCAAACAGTCATGAGATGGCACAAAAGTTTATAGTGTAAACATTTAGAAATTGCTCTCATCACAGGTTTCACAGTTCTCAACTCTCAAACATACCTATATGCTCTGATCCTGCTTTGAATATGCCTGAGAACTATATGGGCAAAGCTATATAAATGTAGCTATGTTGGCTTAACTCTGTGGTGTAGATGTATGTACACCAAGAGAGAGGATGTAGGAACCTTACCCCGGCTCCCCAGCCTATGGTAGCTAAATTGACAAGCATTCTGCCATAGACCTAACTCAATCTGCAGTGGGGGCAAGGTTGGCATAGCTACATTATTCAGGGAGTATCAATTTTTTTATTTCCCTCCCGCCCCCTCGCCAAGCAACATAGTTATGTCAACCTAAATTCCTAAATTTTAAGTGTAAATCAGGCCTGAGGCCATGTCTACACTAAAAAGAAGATCTCTGCTGCTGCAATTGATCTTCTGGGGTTTGATTTAGCCAGTTTAGTTGTGATTCTTGCTTCAACGTTCCTTATAAGTGTGGACCTGGCCTGAGATTCAAACTTCTTTGTTTCAGGAGCATGGCTACCTTACACAGATCTCCAGCATCTCTCTTTTTAAACTTCACTTCTCAATGGTGGATGTTGATTGATCATAAGGATGCATTACACCAATAAACTAAAAGGACTTACCATCTCATCAAGTCCATCATTTGTTTCCACAGATCTGAACAGCTCTGAGTAATGTCTGGCTTGTAATGTGGAAAAATGTGCTTTGGTGAATCAATGAGACCTCTTATTTTGCTTTAACTGAAACTACCTCAGCCTTTTTTTTTATTAAAATTATTTTATCCTAATTTAAAACAAAATAAAGCCCCCACAATATTACATCTTGCTACTTATAACTACCTGTCATATATTGGTAAAAAAAATCCTTTACTGAAATTAATTAGTTTTCCTCCACTGATCACAC